TATTCATGAGTCTAAAATTTCCAAAACATGGGTAGTACTTTACGAATATCCAGACGTGAAGCAAAAATTTTAATTTTATGTGTTCAAGATTAATTTGGAACAAGGACTTCAATATTAATAACTAGATGCTTAATTTAATATTTGTACATATTTAATGAACATTTTAACACAATTACTGTAGTTTAAGCAAAAGTTAATGGGCTCGGTCGAATTCGTATTCGGGCTTCTAGCTCCGCCACTGCTAATATCTTTGTTTTAATCTTTCACACAGAGGATTTACCTTTTATGCGGAGACGACGACAAAATTTTTAATATGGCAGTGTCCGATAACATGAAACAGTAAGTCCCTAGCTTTGGCAGCTATGTTCGAGCTGCTGCAGAGCAATTTTGGAATTCAAAAATTAATGTTTTTATTGATCAAATCTATCGAATATCTAATTTTGGGTATAATAATGAGTGCAGGAAGTTGGGAGAAAATACGACAATCGAGTACATAAAAAAGGCAGGACATCTAGTTCAGTTGGAGCGACCCTGCTCTTACAATCATTATCTCAAGAAATTTCTTTCCTACTCATGAAGTGGCTATGTGAGTTACGATTAAGGATTGTCGTCGTTTATATTGGGAATTATTTTTTTCTTACTTGTAGACATAGGCATAATTGGTTAAATCACGTAATTGTTGGTGTCTCAGTTATTCTTTCCAATAGTATTGTTCTATTCAATCAAAATGTAATGGTAAATTTAATTGGTTAATACTAAGCTTCTCAATTATAAATGCTTTTTAGTATCGCGTTCATAAGTTAATTTATTCATATAAAGCATGAGTTATTTTGTTTAGTCATTGGGTAATTTTTTTTAACTTTCTCAAGTCTGATTTTAATGCGTTACTTTTCGTGAATTTGATATTGAAATATAGTTTCTTGAAATAATTAGGTCCCGTTCCATAAAAAAAAATTCCTTTTTTTTTAAAAAAAAATTTCTCCAAAATGTGTTAGTCCATGAAATTTTGCAAATTTTTCGAAAATGAGTTTTTCAAAATTAAAAAGCAGTTTTGACCATTTTTTCAAAATTTTCAGAAAAACGTTTTTCCCCACTCACAAAACTGTAACATTTTTTCAAGTGAAATGCATGTCCAAACATAGTTTCAAATTCTAAACACCATTTTTCAAATTAACCCAAATATTACTATTTTTTTCAATACTTTATGTCCAAACGCCTACTTAGTCTCAAGAGTCCACCTGTTCAGGAAAATGGTTTTCTTTCTTCTTTTTGCACCAAAAATATACTCTACACCATAAAGATTGCAAAAGGGAGCTCATGCCAAGGAATAATCGATAAGAGATCAGAAGAAATTATACTTACCATTTTCTAATTTGCTGAGATTTCAAATCATCTTTCCACGTCTTGAGTGTTAATATCGTATTAAATTATCAATTAATATATGTTTGATTATTATATATATCATCACAATTTTTGATAAAAGTAACAATGGATAATTTTAAAGTATAGTTAATTTTTTTAATCTAAACATCAAAAACCCAAAGTGAGGAAAAAGTGTCAAAAATAATACTTTAGTCCGTTTCGATTTATATAGCAACATTTTCTTTTTAGTCCGTTAAAAGAGAATATCTTCAAAATTTGGAAACACTAATTTATAAATTTCCTATTTTCCTCTGAATAATAAGTTTTTATGATCACATAAATATTAAAAAATAATTAATATTATAAATTTTAAAAGTATTATGAAATATTTATAATTGCAGATTTAAAAAAATTATGTCTTTCTTAAATCCTATTTTGCCACATAATTTGGAACTAACACTCTGTTTGGATCTTGTTATCCATCGTTTGATAATGTATTGTATTGTATCGTATGGTATTGTATTGCTTCAATTTATTAAAACAACGTTCGGGTAGATTGTATTATTTGATGATGTTAAATAACATTTTGCTGTTTAGTTTGACTGTATCGTACTGTACTGTAACTGATAAGTTTACTACAATACCCTCAATTATTCTAAATATTAAATTTATTAAGGATTACGGATAAAAAAAGAATTAAGAAAATCCCTTTCTACTAAAATCAAAGTTTACCTATCATTAGAAAAAAAAAAAAGATGATGGAGAAAAGAACGAAGATCGTGCAGTTGGCAGAACAAAGGAACAAAGATAAATAAGTAATACTATGTACACTTGAAAACAACTAATATTATACAACTAATTGGAGATTAAAGCAATTAGAATTGGAGTTAAAATCAAAGTAAGAGAAAAGCGAAACAAAAAGAAGGCAAAACCTATTCATACTACCTTTGACGTTGGAGTTAGGAATAGTAAGTGATAACTACGGATTTTGACGTGTTTCATGCTCTTTCTTGCTTACGCTTTGATTATAAATTCTTACAAAATAGACCCAAAAGGCTCATAAGTTGTGCTTGATTGCAGGTTTGATCAACAAAGTGACGAGATGTCAAATATCGGCTCAACAAGGAGTGAAACCTGCACAAGTATCAAAGACAAAAGGAACTCGGGACAAACTAGCCTAGTGCGGCCGCAGTCCATTCTGTGCAGTCCGCACTAGGGAGATTCAGAGAACTGGCAAATCAAGTGTTAAAGCAGTGCAGCCGCAGTGGAGATTGTGCGGTCCGCACTGAAGACTCCGCGGCCGCACTACCATTCTACGCGGTCCGCGGAAGCCAACTTCAGAGAGATGTCCAGAACCCATCATCAAGCCTATGTGGTCCGCGGTCGACTCTGTGCGGACCGCGCTGGCTGCCTCCGCGGCCGGTCCATTCTGCGCGGTCCGCGGAGCCTGAGTTCAGAGAAGTGAATTTGAAGAGTCAAAAGCCTAGTGCGGTCGCAGTTCATTTTGTGCGGCCCGCACTGACCCCGCAGGGGTATTTTTGTCTAGTTTTTCCAGCTTAGTATAAATAGAATCTTTTTCCATTTTTTAGGGTAACCAGTTATTATCAGACATTAGCTGCGCTCGTGAGAAGCTATTTTGTAGCCATTTTGGGCACTTTACAATAGTTTTAGCAATTGAATCTTTATCTTTACTTCAGTAATTTAATATTATGTCTTTCTCTTCATCTATTTCTCTGATTTTATCTTCAAGCATGAGTAACTAGACCCATTAGCTAGGGTTGTGGCTCAACTCTAGTGTGGGTAATTGATGGGTGTTGTAATTTAAGGTTAGATTGATTATGAGTGTTTGTTATTTGGGTCAATCTTATGGTTTAATTTATGAATTAGTAGTTGCAAACACTAGTTTGTGCTAAGTTGACTTGGGCTCTTCTTGAGAAAGAGAGCCTAAGTCTCCAAAATTGACCCAACAAGGAATTGGGATAGACTCAAAAGATTTGATAGTCCTAATTAACAGGTTAAACCTCGAGAGAGTAATTAACCGACTTGAACCCTAGTTGCTCGGGCAAATATGCATACTCAATTGGTCTCGAGAGAGTAAATTGGGCAAAATCACTCTTTCTACCGAGAGGTGTAGAGTGGGTAGTATTGAGCAACGGTTATAACATATTTTCCCAATCATGTCAATCGTGAATTACCCGTCAATTAGCCACCTAGGTGAAAGTCACTACCCTAGTGCCTTTTAAACTATTAGATACAACTTGTAGCAATTTATCTCTTAGCTTAATCTAGTTGCATTTTCAATTAGTAGTTTAATTATAGTAGAATATAAAGAAAACCCAAAAACTATGAGAAGACCAATTAAGAAAACACACGCAATCCTAAGCTAGATAGATACTCGACCCCAATCCTAGCTCTCTGTGGATTCGATCCCAACCCAAAATCGGGTAAAAGCTATTGCGACCCTCTCACGCTACTTTTTAGTGGTGCGGAGTTGGAAGCGATCAGTAAGCGGCAAAAGGAAAAAAAGGACGAAGACAAAGTAAGTTAAAGGTTTGAGATTTGGAGTTAAGAAAAAGAAAAGAGGTAAAGGGTAAAATATAATTTTAAAGTAATAAGTTAGGGCATAATTGAAAAGAAAAATAGGAAACGATCCCACTACACCAATGTGGTTGTTTCAAAAAATGGGACTTTTTGTTATTACAGAATAATAAATGTAACGATACAATACAATCAATTTTAACTAACACTTTGTTTGTATCATTGTTCCCCGTCGTTTTATAGTGTATTGTATTGTATTGTATTGTATCGTTTTATGAATACGATGCTTGGATAGATTGTATTGTTTGTTATTGTTAAATGCTGTTTGGTTTGACCGTATCGTAACTGATAAGTTTATTAAAATATCCTCAATTATTTAAATATTAAATTTATCAAAAATTATGCATAAAATAATTTAAAAAACAAAATAGAAGGAGGCAAAATACCTTAAGAAAGCAGCACAAAGGAGCGAGACAGAAGAAGGCAAAACACAGCTAATTAGAATTGAGTTAAAAGCAAATTAGGAGAAAAAATAAAACAGAAGACGGCAAAACACCTTTAACGTTAGCGACAGAAGTTTTGGGAAAAAACAAAGTAGGTTATAGGTTTGAGATCTGGAGTTAAAATAGAAAAAAACGGTAAAGGTTAAATAGACTTGTGGAGTAATAAGTTAGGGCATAATTGGAAAGAAATATAGGAAACAATCCCACCACATCAAATCGGTTGTTTCAAAAAATTAGACTTTTTATTATTCCGGAACAATGGATTTAACAATACAATAAAATAAATTTTAATGAAACAATCAAAACAAACATTGTTTTGGGATAACAATACGTTACAAACAACCATCCAAACAAACTGTAAACAATCAAACCAAATATTATTTTGGAATAAATATATAATAACATATGATAACAACTCCAAACAAGCTGTAAAAGGGAGTAGGCACCATCCAGCTTTCTCAATGGCGCAACCTTGTTCAACGCCGCGGAAATTCAAATACGGCCGCCTCACTCACATTTAAAATGGGATCACTTTATCAGTACTACATATATCGTATTATCCAAACACAATCTCACACAAATTGCGAAAGCAACAAAGTCATGTAAACGGTTATGGAGGGAGAAGAGTAGAATTGGAGAGAAGTGAAGCTTCCTGTCCTCATACCCATAGTGTCAAGAGCCGAAACTCGAGAGACAAACGGCGAACGACGTCGCAATAGATCACGGTCCTAACAGCAAACATGCTTTTGATTGGGACGTTACTCACCTTTACCGTCTCGCCGATACACTTCATATCATTCACGCCGTCTCCAGTTAGATTCACATCCTTAATTTCCGTTTGAATAACCGATTGCTCGTAATAATTGTTAATCTAGAACTCCATTTATTCTATGTTTGTTTCAGGTCTGAGAAATGAGATTGTCTATGAGACTACACAGGCACTCATGGAGAAGCTCGTTGTCGAAGCTTTAGAGGTTGCTCTGGTCAGTATTTCTCTCTCTCTCTCTCTCTCTCTCTCTCTCTCTCTCTCTCTCTCTCTCTCTCTCTCTCTCTCTCGAAGCTTTACAGGCACTTATGTTAATGTATTAAAATCTGCGTATACAGTGTATTATCAAAAAAATTACTGTACTACTTAGTTTGATTTTTAATTGGATTAAGGTTTGTACTAATAACACCCTGGCCTATGTTAAATTTATTTAATCTGGTATTGATTTTATGATCATATATGATAAGAATGATTAATATAATACAATTGAAAATTAATATTTGTAATTAGTCTAAATTTTTAATCATCCTAGACATGCACTTCTCACGACTCTCGTCCTCAACCTGATGCATGCGAATATTAGTATACTTCCCTTATAAACCATGGTTGTAACTTGTAATGACTAAGGCATGATTACATGTTGCGATAACATTTTCTGGGAAAAAAATGAACCACTTCACATTTAAACGTTCTCACTAGATTAAAGATAAGTCATGTTTTCTGTGCAGCACGGAAGATGTATGCTGAATTTTTTAGAAAATGAACCTTGAAGGACCCTTGACAATTAGGATAAGAATCAATGGTTCCTTGGAGAATTTTCTAGTTCGATGAGCAATGCATCATTCGTTGGAGGGAATATACATGAATGATTTTCAGGACTGAACTTTGATTGGGTGGAATTTCTTACTCACCTGTGATCCCTTTCTCCCTTGCTGGCCACTAATCCTAGAAGCTAAACACATTGTTGGGAAAGCTTTTATTACAAAATTTGAGTATTATCATTCTGATTGTCGCTTGTCTTTTTGCCTGATGTAATCATTCAAGTAATTAGAAATAAATATTTTGTCTTCTTAACTTTCACCAAATTGATGAACTGAGGAGCTCGATTGAACAGCATTGAGAAGAGATAACAAGAGAAGCGTAGAGAGGCTAACTAGTGACAATGAACAAATATCCAGCTATTTATACTAAAGACTAATCATAACTAACTCTAACTAAATCTTGTTAACTTAACTGACTGAATACACCCACAGTTGGTCAACTCCTTACATGTCTAAGAACCAATATTCGAATATATGAAGAGTTACTATTCGCTTTGAATGTGGTACTTATGCAGATGATACGTGGCTAATAGATAGTTAACCTGAAGAACATGTTGTTGTATAATTGATTGTGAGAATTTTACTTTGCGACTTCTCTCTTGATTAGGCATTCTATGATTGGTTCCTGTATACTATCATGGCAATGAAAGCTTACCTGTCATTAATATTGTAGCGTGAAATGTTCTATAAATGCATAACTTGATTGAGTTGATGCCCATCTTTATAATCAATAAGTTTGGATGAAGTAGACGAATTGAGGCTGAGAAAGTGTACTACTGATGCACCTTTCTACTTATGCTTCTTCTTTTGGGGATCCAGTGTAGTCTAAAGTTGTGGAGGAAAGCGTTTTCATATGAAAATGTGGAACTTGCAGTGCCCAGTAGGGCATAATTAAGATGAAGTTATGGAAGTTGCAATTCCCCAGTTTGTTGTCCATTGTTATCATTCAGAATCAATGCTAGTCTGCTGAGATTTCTGCCCCTGACTGAGACGTGGTCGGTCTTAAAGATTTCCAGAAATTTATCTGATTGTTGCCTGAATGACGCACATATCGTTAATTTTCTAAATTTCAAGTTATTTCATGCTGCATGCATGATACGGTATTCCTATGCACGTTTTTGTGTTATGCAACAGTATCATAAGGAGTGTTACCCTACATTTTCTTTCATATTTTTGTTGACGATTGGAAAGTATGCAAGTTTTAGTTCCTAGCACATGTGGTGACTATTGTTTATGGATAAGCTTGTATCTAACTGTATTAGTTATTCACATGTCATGTGTAACTAGTGCAACATCTGTATTCCCACTTCTACTATGGAACACAATTGCCTTGTCTTTTTTTTCACTTTAAAGCCTTAAAACTTTGAAAGAAGGTCTTTTTCTTCACAGAAAGATGTAATGTAATACCCTGTAGAAGTTTGTTATCACCTTTGTTATTGTTGGTTTTATTGAGCTTGACCTCATATACACCAGTAATCAAAATAGTTTTGGTTCCATTGATATAATCTCTAGGAGTTGATAACACACTGAACTCATTAATCTTCTGTCAGTGAGTATTGTTTACACAACTGCAAGATATCACCCATCATAATAGTTCCTCGAAAATCTATAATATTTACACTTTACACTATCACGTTCATTAGCTTTGGTTCCATGTTTCTTTTATGAAATCAAATAGTTGCAAAAATCTAAACTAGTTCAATCTATTGCCAAAACAGAGGCTCGGGAAGAATCTGTGATTTAATGGGACTTGCAAAGTTTGAGGAACTTACTCTGAAGTGGTGCCCATCCAAGGAATGCTACTTGCTGTGCGACAGTGGGAGCAGCTGTATTACTGGTGGCAGGTTCTTCCTCTAAATGCCTATGCTTGTATGAAAAGCTTGTGCTATTTTATGTATTCAGTATTTAAATTTGTTTGTATGTAATACCAATTTTGTGAATGGTTGCTGAACACAGTGAAAAACCTCATCTACTTACACATTGGATATTGTTCCTAAGAGATAGAAGGCTTACAATTTGTGCTTATATACTTCAACAATTTTTGTCATAAAGATGTAACGCATCACTTCTAGCCCCAAGAATCATATAAGCAGGAAAAACATAAAATAAGATCTATTTGACTAGCTCAATCAGAAGGAATCTGAACTATATATAATAATTGAGGGGGAGTCTTGGAGCAACGGTAAAGTTGTCTCGACCTATAGGTCACGGGTTCGAGCCGTGTAATCAGTCATTGATGATTGCATTAGGGTAGACTGCCTACATCATACTCCCTTAGGGTGCGGCCTTTCCCTAGACCCATGAACGCAAGATGCTTCGTGTATCAGGCTATTGAACGTAGAGATGCAAGTTCTTCAGTTGTTCATGGATTCTAGAGGGATTACTTAAGAAATTGAGAGCTGGGGAAAGGGCATAAACATAAAGTGCTATGTAGAAATGTTGGCTCGAGGTTGCTGTACTACACACCACATATTTCGACAACCTTCTTAGATTTTTATGAAACAAGAATTACGAAGATTTTGACTAATATTGAGGATTAGAAAGGAATTGCTTTGTAACCTTAGTGGGTCCAGAAAGACAACAAGCAAAACCATCTATCAGTATCTATTCAGACAAGAAGAATCCTGTAGATTTTGTCTGCAGAAATAACCAGGTCCGTCTTTGCTCACTGAAAATGAAGGTAAGCAGATGTTAGAACAAAGAAATAATGGTGAAAGGCACAAGATGACATAGACTAGGCCCAATGGTGGTGCTGCCCAGACTCGGATTATTGCGTCTGGTTTGCTCTGAACCATCAATAATGAAAAGATGCCCTCCTGTGCATAATGGAACTATATATTCCATAATGCTGACCGAAAGATGAAAAGCAATAACAAAGTTTTGGCAACGCCTTCGTTAAACCCCCCCCCCCCTACCCCAACCCCGAAAAAAAAATCAAAAAAGGATAAATGAAATGAAAGCATGAAAAAAAGAAGAAAGAATACAAGGAAAAAGAAACTCCCTCACTGGAGGGAAGGAGTAATGAGTTAGATTATATGACAAGTAGTCACTAATACGAATTCAGTTAATGTCTTAATGATAATCCACAAAAATCCATTCTTTTCCAATTCAAAAGCCATCAGTATGTTGTTTACTCCATGTTGCCCTCAGTGGAATCTGGATATGATTATAACAAACTTTTAGTCCCTTATAAACCACGTAAGTTACTTATCCTCTTTTTTCCTTCCTTTGTTCAAATGATTAAAACAATATTTAAAGACTGATGTGAAATATAATTACAAAGTTTATTCTAATTGTGTGACAAAAACATGAGCTGCCATATGATTAGGTACTAATCTGTTTTTTTTTTTGTCAAATAGAGAAAGCATGAATCCTAATATCTAATTCAGATGTCTCAACATCACCAATTATTTTGAAAAAGAAAAAAGGCTTCTTTCTTTATTAATTTTCTAGGTCTTAATCGACATGTCTTATTCTGTCCAAAAGGCAACTAGGCTAGCCACTATGGTTTACTGGTTGGCTCCCTTTCAGTATTCTCATGGGCTGCTCAATATTGCGATTCAGGTTCTAGTCAACAGAGTACCAGTTTGTGCCACTTGATGAGTATGACCCTTAATAATCAATCTTTAGAATAGAACTTTCTCTACTACTCTGACCACAATATTGTGTTTCCTAATATATTAGAATCAACCAGCTTTTAAGCATATTTACTAACAACTCTATTATGATGGATTTCCATTAAATTTTATGGAGTATCATTTGTACTTTACAACTGACAGTAAAATGGAAAATTAATATGATATCTTGATTGATTACAACCATAAGTTACCATACGCAACAACCATGGGCGAAGCTACATTCCCTTAAGGGTGGTCAATTGACCACCCTTCGCCGAAAAATTACATCGTATATATAGGTAAAATATTAGGTTTTAGAGGTATAAAATATATGTTGAACACCCTTTATCGATTTTTTTTTTCACTTAGTTCAAGTTTGAACATCCTTGAAGAAATTTCTGGCTTCGCCACTGGCAACAACAACCATGCCTCAGTCTCAGACAAGCTGGGTCGGCTAAATAACTCAAATTGGTACCAAATTGACTAAAGCTATTGGCCAGATTTGAGAGGTTTCAGCTGATTTTGATTTCAACCTAGTGATAACTTCACGGCCAAACAAATTATTTCTAAAGGACTGAATTTTGCGCTCGCCACTAGCCCTTGAAGATTTCTCGGTTATCAAATTAAAAAAAAAAAAAAGAAAGGAACGAATTTTGGTCTTCTGTTGAGATTTCTTTTCTTTCATTTTCCCCTTCAGTAGTTGCTTATGTTTACCTTTATATATAGATGAAAATTAGATTTATGTATATAGAAAAAGCCAGATTTCTACTTCGTTTCTAGCTATTTTATACTGGATATTTTGGGCATGGTTGGCTCCAGTTGCAATTTGATTAATTGTTTTAGAGAAGACAAGATTTCCAATGAACACTGTCATAGTATTGCTTTGATACTCTTGAACTGCAACATTTACATACATAATATACTATGTTATGTACTTGGAAAAAAGAATCAGGATCCATGACATCTGAGGTGAAGTCATTCAATGATCTTGAATGTTTAGAACTGTAAGGTCACATTTCCATCTTCAGGTCATTTCCAGCTTCAACAAAACCTGCACAACAATCAATAGTTTTTAGCTTCAACACTTGCACAGAAGCCTAATTTCTATTATTCTGGTGTTAAACTAAAGATTAGTGTCGCGGTAAGTGGTCCCTTTTCAGATAAGTATTATAGTTGAGATAGATAGGGGGCATAGGCCCTCCTATGAGAGACCAGGGTTCAAATTTCAGTAGAGGTGGAAAGAACACTAAGTTTGGGGTAGGCAATACTCGGTGGAATAGTTGAGGTGCACGCTACGTGGCCAAGACACTACTATTGTCAAAAAAAAGAAAAAAGGAAAGACAGGGCTCTCCCAGAACTCGTAAGTCTTAATAATGTAGTTGAATAATAACTGTTCATTTGTGTTGGATGGTTACATCTTGCCTATCAATCAACTACTTTGGGAATTTTTTGCCGTGCAAAAGTAACATAGTTTTGATCATTTAAGGTGGAAGACAGAAAAAAAAGGGAAGATACCTAATCAGCAACCTTTTTCAACAGGAGTATAAATCAAAGAGCACCCAACTATTCTCAAAGCAATATGATAGGTTCTGAGTCTCTAACATGGAAAATATCACCCACCTCAATTGATTTTTAATCTCTCTTTGTTGAATTATCATAGACATGATAGAAATATCGACTAGACATGTCACTTGTGCATACCTGTACACGGATGGGGAAGAAACTGTGCTGATCTTCCTTGTTGAAGCTCCATTGCATACATGTTATCTAATTCAGTATCCCAAGTTGGAAAGCTTTGAACTTGCTGTATTTTGAATGAAACATTTGTTAAACAAATAGAAAGAAAAAGGGAAATTAACAGTTTATTGACTAAGATAGGTTCGAGTAATTACATTGATATTGGATGAGTCGAGAAATATTTCAGGGATTGATACAGGTGCGCTAGTGGTTCTACGTAGAGCCATTTCGCTAAGATTTAGAATACCCATTTCGAATCCAGAACTTGACACTATTTGCTGCAATGAATTGAACTGGCGTTGGGCCATACTAAGCATTTCAGATGATGTTCCAGCTCCCACTGTAGGAAAATTAGACGTGCTAGTTGCAAATATCTGGAGAAACAAAAAATTTGAAATAAGAACATGTTTTTACACTGATGAACGAAATAATTTCTTGGTATGACGTTCCCTTACATCTTTGTTGAAGAAATTGTCTATGTCGATATCAAGCCTTGGATTAACAGCAGCCAGTTTCATGGATAGGAACTGTCATGATATTGAATTGTCAAATATAGAATCAATCATAATATTTCTAGCAACAATAGCAAATACAGAAGGTACTATTGTTTCTTGATTTTTTTCCTTTTTACCTCTACTTGTCTTTGGAGAGACTGGACATAGTTGATTATTTCATCTAGCATTCCTGCTTTCCCTGTGATCTTGTTACATCCTGGTACTAAATCTTGTAGAAATCTCATTCTTTCACTAATCTTTTCCCTTCTTACCTGCCAAAAATATGAACGAAGTTGCTGGTTAAGTTGTTCACTGGATTAAATATTAATATGTGGTAAAAAACACTTGGACCAAATCTTTAACTCACTCGTTCAGCTAAGCTGTGGCTATCAGTGGCTTGACCTCGACGTGCTCTGACATGAATATAATCAGGCTTTTTATCTTCAGTAATTTTGGACTTCTCCTTTGAAGATTCAGAAGATTCCTTACTGTTGTTACTGTTATTGGAGCTCCTTTTGTTGTTGTATTTCTCTGTTGTTACCTTGGAATCTCCCTCCTCTATGCATTCTTTCATTTTCTTGTCTTTGGTTTCCTCTTCTGCAACCTCCTGAAAAATGTCCACCAATTGTTAGATTACAGGACAGTTGCAACTATTGAATTGTGTGACCATCTCGTACAAAAGTTTAAACTCTTGAAAAACACACTTTTAATTACTTAATTATCAACAAGCTCTCTCTCGTGTGGATCAGAACATGTAGAAATATCTTTTGCTTTTTGGATGGCGGTGAGAGTGCTGTGCAACCATGTTTAGTGCTGTGACCAACTCATCTAAAGATTTAAACTCTTCGAGAGAACACGTTTTTAATTACTTAATTATATTGTGTCTCAACCGCACTGAAATGTAGGGACTAAACATAGACAGGGCAGAGAAACAGTTTCAATTGGAATTGAACATACCTTGAGATGTTGATTCTTATCTGCTTTCCTCTTCTTGAAACTCTCTCTTCCTCTATTTGAACTCAGCATACTCTCTTTGGCTTTACCAACAGACACAACGTTGTCCGCCATGTTAGGCGGGCAACTTGTGGTTCTGGAAATGGCATAATCCAATCCCAATTGTGGTGTAGTTCCTCCATTTCCAACCCCAATTGGAAC